GCAGAGTAGTAAGCAAGATCTCACTTCTGACATCATAGCTTACTACATGTGAAATCTGTGAATGATCACAGAGATCACATGGTACAGGGCTATTTACAACTGCCTTGTACCATGTGACAAGCTGTGACCAATCACAGCTCACACAGTATTTCTCAATGGCTGCAAGAATGCAGCCAGAGAGAAGGAGAAATTGTTGCTTTTTCAGCCTTTATGGCTGTAAAAGCAATCAGTGTAAAAAAAAAAATCTTCATCACCCTCCACAAGTAGTACAATGTTACCATGGTGACCCTACTGCTAGGGTGACAGTATGTAAAAAAAAACCCATAAATAATAATATAAATTTTTTTTTTTAAAAATGTGAAAAAAAAATGTTTAAAACATTATAATTTTTGGTTAGAAACTAATCTGGGTTATTTTTTTTTTTTTACTAAAAAGATAATGGAGTAAATTTTGGCCGAGATTTATGATGAAATATTATTTATTTGCAAAATTTCATTTAGATAGCGGTGAAATGTGTCCGGACTGGAAGGGTGGTGGAATGTGTCGGGACTGGAAGGGGGTTGAAATGTAGTTGTGCCTGAACTGGAAGGTGGGTGAAAGTGTCCGGACTGGAGGGGGGGGGGAGAAAGTTGTCGTGGATGGAAAGGGGGTGAAGTGTCCGGACTGGAATGGGGCGTGAAAGTGGTCGGACTGGAGGGGTGGGAAAGTGTCCGGGACTGGGAAGGGTGGGAAAGTGTACGCGACTTGGACAGGGGGGAAAGTGTATGGACTGGAAAGGGGGTGCAAGTGTCCCGGACCTGGAAGGGGGTGAAAGTGTCCGGGATGGAAGGGAAGGGGGGGAAGGTGTGTCCGGACTGAAGGGGGTGAAAGTGTCCGGAACAGGAGGGGGTGAAAGTGTCCGGACTGGAGGGGGGGTGAAAGTGTCCGGGACTGGAAAGGGGTGAAAGTGTCCGGACTGGGAAGGGGGTGTGAAAGTGTCCGGATGGAAGGGGGGAAAAGTGTCCACGGAATGGAGGAAGGGGGGGGGTGAGAAAGTGTGTGGCACTGGAAGGGGGTGAAAGTGTCCGGACTGGAAGGGGGTGGAAAGTGTCCTGGACTGGAAAGGGGGGAAAGTGTCCGGACTCGGAAGGTGGGGGAAAGTGTCCGGACTGGAAGGGGGGAAAGTGTCTGGACTGGTAAAAGGGGGGTAAGTGTCCCGGAATGGTAGGGGGGGAGGAAAGTTGTCCGGACTGGAAGGGGGGGGGGGGAAGTATCCCGACTGGAAGGGGGGGAAAGCGTCCGGACTGGGAAGTGGGGGGAAAAAGCGTTCCCCCGGACTGGAAGGGGGGAAAGCGGGCGGGCCGATGGAAGGGGGGGAAAGCGTCCGGGAGGCGTGGAAGGGGGGGGAAAGCGTTCTCGGGACTGGAAGGGGGGGAAAGCATGTCCGGACTGGAAGGGGGGAAAGCGTCCGGACTGGAAGGGGGGGGGGGGAAAGCGTCCGGACTGGAAGGGGGTTGAAAGCGTCTGGACTGGAAGGGGGAGGGAAAGCGTCCGGACTGGAAGGGGTGGATGGGCGTGGAAAAGGTGTCCGGAATGGAAGGGGGGGGGGGGAAAAAGGAAAGAAAAGCGGTCTGGACTGGAAAGGGGGCGGGGGGAAAGTCGTCCGGGACTGGAAGGGGGTGAAAAGGGGTCCGGAAAAGGTCCGGACTGGAAGGGGGGTGAAAGTGTCCGGACTGGAAGAGGAGAAAGTGGAAAAGAGGGGAAAGTGTCCGGACTGAGAAGGGGGGAATGGGAAAGTGTCCGGACTGGGGGAAGGGGGGGGGGAAAGCGGTCCGGACTGGAAGGGGGTGAAAGCCCCCTCCCCCCCCCCCATGGAAGGGGGGGAAAGCGTCCGGACTGGAAGGGGGTGAAAGCGTCCGGACTGGAAGGGGGTGAAAGTGTCCGGACTGGAAGGGGGGGGGGGGAAGGAGGTGAAAGTGTCCTGGACTGGAAGGGGGGGGGGGAAAGGGTCCGGACATGGAAGGGGGGAAAGTGTCCGGACTGGAAGTGGGTGAACAGTTCCGGTACTGGAAGCGGGGGAAAGCGTCCGGGACTGGAAGGTGGGGGAAGTGTCCAGGGGACTGGAAGGTGGGGAAGTGCATCTCGGACTGGAAGGGGGGTGAAAAGCGTCCGGGCACTGGAAGGGGGGTGGAAAGCCGTCCGGACATGGAAGGGGGTGAAAGTCGTCTGGACTGGAAGGGGGGAAAGGTCGGACTGGGAAGCGGGTGTGAAAGTGTCCGGACTGGAGGGGGGGGGGGGGAAAGTGTCAGGATGGATGGGGGGGGAAAGTGTCCGGACTGGAATGGGGGGAAAAAGTGGTCCGGACTGGAAGGGGTCGTGCAAAGTGTCCGGGACTGGAAGGGGGAAGTGGGACTGGGGGTAAGGGGGGAAAGTGGTCCGGACTGGAAGGGGGGGAAAGTGTCGGACTGGAAGGGGGGGAAAGCGTCCGGACTGGAAGGTGGTGAAGCGTCCGGACTGGAAGGGGGTGAAGCGGGGGGGGGTGTCCCCCCCCCCGGACTGGAAGCGGGTGTAATTGTCCGGACTGGAAGGGGGGGAAAGCGTCCTGGACTGGAAGGGGGGGAGAAAGCGTCCGGACTAGGAATGGGCGTGGAGTGAAGTGTCCAACGGAGGGGGGAAAGCGTCCGGACTGGAAGGGGGGGGAAAGTGTCCGGACTGGAAGGGGAGTGAAATGTTCCGTACTGGAAAAGGGGGGGAAAGCGTCCGGCACTGGACAGTGGTTAAATATTGTTTTTTTTTTTGTTTTATTATACAAGCTGCTTGCTCTGGGGCACTTGTGCGCACTCTCTCCTAAGCTGAGCCTCTGTGCATCCATAAGACACGCAGATTTGTGGCTTGGCCCCCGCCCCCCTAAACTCTTCTTCACTGGATATGAAGAATGACAGCAGCAGGACAGCCAATTGCTCCCACTGCTGCCAACTTTTCTCGCCTATCCAGTGAGGAGGAGAGAGCTGCTGCACCCGTGCACATTCTAGATCCGGCTCGGGGAAAGTAGTGGGGGGCTTGGAGGGGGGCTGCATGCAGAAGGTTTGCAGAGAATGCATTAAGGTAGAAAAAAAAAAAAAAAAACCACCTTCTACCTTTTAGAAGCACTTTAGGGGGAGGAGAGGCGGGGGAGCGGCTGCTGAAGGGCTTTAGTGTATGCAGAGAATGCATTAAGGTGAAAAAAAAAAACTATTTTTTTTTGCCTTTTATAGTCACTTTAATGTTCCCACTCAGGAGGAGAACTTGCAGGCTGTTATTATTGCCCTCCTCCTCCCGTAAAATGTCAATTGCTGACCTTTCTGCTTCACAACCAATGTGCACATAAGGACCTCTACTAGGTAAGTACCCAATCCAAGCTGGTCCACCAAATGTTCGTCTGTCCCATCGACTTACAGTGCATGACCAGCCGCTCCTGCATTGGGAGGACTCCCGGGGCTGAAGCGGGCGATGGCTGCGGCTTGTCTCAGGAGTGGTGAATAATGAAGGAATTTCTGTTTTATGCCCCCATTCTTTGGGGCATTGGACCCTTCATATTACTGGGGGGGGGTGGCAGGGAGATAGCAGGCTGTTGGCAATATAATTATAAAATGTATGTGTGTGTAATAAATATATATAATTCTGAAAAAAAGGTGTTTTTCTTATAAAATTTTGCAAATAAATAATCTTTCTTCATAAATCTCGGCCAAAATGTATTCAGTTATCTTTTTAGTAAAAAAAAAAAAAATAACCCAAATTAGTTGATAACCAAAAATTATAATTTTTTAAGTTTTTTTTTTTTTTTTACATTTTTTTATATTATTATTTATGTATTTTTTTCCTACATACTGTCACCCTAGCAGTAGTGTCACCATGGTGACACTGTACTACCTGTGGGGGGTGATGAATATTTTTTTTTTTCTTTTTACACTGATTGCTTTTTTTGACACCCATAAAGGCTGTAAGAGGAATCATTTCTCCTTCTCTCTGGCTGCATTCCTGCATCCATTGAGAAATACTGTGTGAGCTGTGATTGGTCACAGCTTGTCACATGGTACAAGGCTGTTGTGAATGGCCCTGTACCATGTGATCTCTGTGATGATTCACAGATTTCACACGTAGTAAGCAATGATGTCAGAAGTGACATCTTACTACTCTGCATGTGATCACTCTGACATGATCACAGTGATTAGTACGACGATCGTTGTTCCGCTGTGACTGGGCACCGGATCATGGCACCAGATCCACAGCGGGCACCGGATCGCGGTGCTGCACGCTCCCACAGTCCATAATGGCGGGCGCTGTTTATGAACAGCAACCCTCCCCTGGACTGCCACCATCCGGGCGTTTATATACAGCGGCCGGACAGGAAGTGGTTAACAAACTACAGTTCACACTACATGCGTCTGTGTGCTTTTTTAAAAAAAAAATTTTTTCTGCATCCAAAACGCACAGAAAGTCGGTGATCTGGGTATCAGTGTCATAGTTCACATCAGCGCTCGCAGTTCCAGTGCGTTCCGGATGCAGCCAAAAAAAAAAAAAAAAAAATTACTGTAGAACAGACTGCATTTTTCCTGCACAGAACTGTACTGAATGGGGTAAAACGTACCGGAACAGTCCTTGTTTCAATTGAAGAAAGGGGGAAAAAATGAACCGGAACGTGTCAAAAACGCACCGGAACGCGCCAAAAAAACACGCACGCAGAAAGACACCTGAATGCGCCATCTGGCATTTTTTGTGGCGTGAACCAGCCCCAATGCTGCAAAAAAATGGTTTTAAAGCCCATTTTTATTTGTTTTTTGTTTTTTTATTTTTATTTTTTTTTTTTTTCAGATTTCCCATTGATACAATATATATATAAATGCAAATAGTTGGAAACAAAAGAAAAAAAACCGTTTTATTTCTGTGTTTTTAGCTTGCTCCGCATTAACATTTCTGTTTTTTTTTTTTCAGACAGCCCTAGGATCTCGGATCCTAATATTCCCTTAGTTGCTCGTGAGATAATGCAGCGAATGATTCGACAGTTTGCTGCTGAATATACCTCAAAAAACAGCTCTACTCAGGACTCCAGCCAGCCCAACAGCACAAAGAACCAAAGCTTGCCGAAATCGCCGTCGGGACAAAGTTCTCCGCCCCCTGCGACTACTCAGAACCCTGTGCTTAGCAAGCTTCTGATGGCTGACCAAGATTCTCCATTAGACCTCACCGTCAAGAAGACCCAGTCAGAAGAACCCTGTGAGCAAGGTATTGGAAACGTTTTTTTCCCCGTTTCAGTTTTGCGTGCTTACGGGCTCACTTTAATCTTTTTATTTTTTACCGCTTCCCGACCGCCTGATATACTGCTACAGGGCGGCACGGGTGCGCAAATTTACGTATATATATATATACGAGATTTTGCATTTCCGGGTAGGGGGCGCCCTACCCGCGCTGCGGCTGTCAAACTCCGGGTCCTGGCCGGTGATTGCTCGCCGGCGCCTGGTGATTGCCGAGAATCTCCAACGGGGAGGAGAACTGTTTGTAAACAAAACAGTTCTGCCCTGTCGGGTCGTGCACACTGCTTTGGATGGCTGTGCACAGCAGTGTGATTACATTGAAGCACACAGACACAGAGCTAATTAAAAACAGCACACAGTTAACCCTTTGTTCACCCCACATCCACCAGTGTCGTTACAGTGAAGCACACACCTCCGCCCCCTAGTAAAACACTCCCAGCACACAGTTAACCCTTTGATCGCCCCACTCAATCAGTGTGCTTACTGTGAAGCACACACACACCTCCCTAGAAAAAATACTCCCAGCACACAGTTAACCCTTTGATCGCCCCACATCAATCAGTGTGATTACAGTGAAGCACACACCTCCTGCCCCCTAGTAAAACACTCCCAGCACACAGTTAACCCTTTGATCGCCCCACATCATCATCTTACAGTGAAGCACCCCCCCCCCCCCCCCAGTAAAACACTCCCAGCAGTCGAAGTGTGCACAGTGAAGCACCCCCCCCCCCCCCCCCCCCGTAAAACACTCCCAGCACACAGTTAACCCTTTGATCGCCCCACATCAATCAGTGTGCTTACAGTGAAGCACACACACCCCCCCTAGTAAAACACACCCAGCACACAGTTAACCCTTTGATCGCCCCACATCAATCGGTGTGATTACAGTGAAGCACCCCCCCCCCCGCCCCCTAGTAAAACACTCCCAGCACACAGTTAACCCTTTGATCGCCCCACATCAATCAGTGTGATTACAGTGAAGCACACACACCCCGTCCCCTAGTAAAACACTCCCAGCACACAGTTAACCCTTTGATCGCCCCTCATGTTAACCCCTTCCTGCCCAGTGCCATTAGTACAGTGCCAGTGCTTTTTATTAGCACTGATCACTGTATTGGTGTCACTGGAAGTGTCAGTGACACCAAGTCAGTTCCCCCCAGTGTCAGAATGCCCGCTGCAGTCCCGCCACAAGTTGCCAATCGCCGCCATTACTAGTAAAAATTTAAAAACCAAATCCCAGTATATGTCAGAATGCCCGCCGCAGTTCCGCTAAGAGTCGCAGATCGCCGCCATTACTAGTAGAAAAAAAGAAAAATCCTCTTATCTATACCGCCATTTGTAAATTTTTGGCTGAAATTTATGACGAAATTTGAGATTTTATTAAATTAAATTTTTTTTACTGGATATGTTTAATGTCAAAAATATCATTTTTTTTTCTCAAAATTGTCGGTCTTTTTTTTTTTTTTTTTTTTTTATAGCGCCAAAATAAAAAATGTAGTGATGATCAAATACCACCGAAAAAAAAAAAGCTCAATTCGTGGGGAAAAAAAGGGCGTAAACTTAATTTGGGTGCAGTGTTGCATGACCGCGCAATTGTCAGTCAAAAGTAACGCAGCGCCGTAACGCAAAATATGCCCTGGTCAGGAAGGGGGGTAAAATCCTCCAGAGGGCGAGGGGGTAATATTTTAGGCCTAAAAAGTTCATTCAACACTCTTCTTCCCAATATCTTACTTGAGGGACGTGGCACTTTGTTACTACCTGGGTCTGGACCTCCTACCACCCGATGGTCACCCCAACCTTTCAACATACATGGTGGAGAAGGGTTCGGGGGGGAAGTCCAGCTGTGCTGGGTGCTCCCAGATCACACTCTACGAACAGCTCCGGTGTTGCTTACAACCCACTGATCTAGCCGGCCTCTGCAGCCTGGAATCAGGTGACCTTCTGACTTTGGAGTCTGTCCCATATTAGGGATCTTCCTAGCTGCACTGGGTGTAGCAGACTCTTCTTCCACTGTCCCTGCCTATGGAAGCCACAAGCGACCTCTCATGCCTTCCCTTCAGATTATGTATCTGATCTGCTCGCACCTTATGGGCCTCTGAGCCATCAGCCAGTAACAATCTGGGGGTTATTTACTAAAACTGGGGAGTCCAAAATCTGGTGAAGCTCTGCAGAGAAACCAATCAGCTTCTGGGTTTTATTGCCAAAGCGAACAAACTGAAGTTAGAAGCTGATTGGCTGCCATGCACAGCTGCACCGGATTCTGGGTGCTTCCGTTGACTCCAGTCCTTTTGGAACATGCTTGCCTGAGATGACCTGCAATCTTCTGTTATTACTCCCAGAGACTGTTTTTGGCTCTTTTTGATGGATTTGCACACCACTCTGATGAAGCTAGAGGATCGGTCTGTTGCTGTTCCAGTCCTGGTTCCCGTAGAGCCTTTCAGACTGCAAAGACTTTCCCAGCGGACCTGCTATTGGAAGTCTTCTTCTGCAGAGATTAAAAAATGCCCCAACAAGATATTTGCGACAATTGAAAGTGTTGTTTAGGTTTGACCTCGTATTATGTGGTGTCAGGTAAATCTAAAGAAAATTTCTCAAGCAAATTGTATAATGGATGGCCAGCCTTTGCCTTGAATCTGTTTGAAGAGTAAAAGTGGTCTACAACCCCGCTATGGGTCTGGCAGCATCCTGCCTTAACCATTCCAATACCGGGCACTTTAACCCCTTCCTGCCCAGGCCATTTTTCAGGTTTCAGCGCTCTCACACTTTGAATGACAATTGCGCGGTCATACAACACTGTACCCAAACTAAAATTTTATCATTTTCTTCACACAACTAGAGCTTTCTTTTGGTGGTATTTAATCACCGCTGGGGTTTTTATTTTTGCTAAATTAACAAAAAAAGACCAAAAATTTTGAAAAAAAAAAAACGTTTTTCTTTGTTTCTGTTATAAAAGTTTACAAATAAATAATTGTTCTTCATAAATTTAGGCCGAGATGTATTCTGCTACATGTCTTTGGTGAAAATAACCCAAATTAGGATGTATTATTTAGTTTGTAGGAAAGTTATAGAGTTCACAAACTATGGGATAGATCTGAATATTGATCAATCCTGAAGTACTGACAGCCAATCTAATTTCTTGAGGTCCAAGAATGTCAGAACAGTACAGATATCCCCCAAATGTCAGGACAGTACAGATATCCCCCAAATGTCAGGACAGTACAGATATCCCCCCAAATGTCAGGACAGTACAGATATCCCCAAATGTCAGGACAGTACAGATATCCCCCAAATGTCAGGACAGGACAGATATCCCCCAAATGTCAGGACAGTACAGATATCCCCCAAATGTCAGGACGGACAGATATCCCCCAAATGTCAGGACAGTACAGATATCCCCCAAATGTCAGGACAGTACAGATATCCCCCAAATGTCAGGACAGTACAGATATCCCCAAATGTCAGGACAGACAGATATCCCCCAAATGTCAGGACAGGTACAGATATCCCCCCAAATGTCAGGACGGTACAGATATCCCCCAAATGTCAGGACGGTACAGATATCCCCCAAATGTCAGGACAGTACAGATATCCCCCAAATGTCAGGACAGTACAGATATCCCCCAAATGTCAGGACAGGTACAGATATCCCCCAAATGTCAGGACAGAACAGATTCACCCAAATGTCAGGAGTACAGACATGTCAGGACAGTACAGATCCACAAATGTCAGGACAGTACAGAATCCAGAAAAGGATATCCCCCAAATGTCAGGACGTACAGATATCCCCCAAATGTCAGGACAGTTGATATCCACCCAAATGTCAGGACGGTACAGATATCCCCCCAAATGTCAGGACGGAACAGATATCCCCAAATGTCAGGACGGTACAGATATCCCCAAATGTCAGGACAGGACAGATATCCCCCAAATGTCAGGACAGTACAGATATCCCCAAATGACCCCTTTTTGCAGAGTAGACAGTCCGATGTACTTCATAAGAGGAATGGCGAGTTTTTTGAAGTTGTATTTTTTTTTGTCATAATTTTTCGGAAAATGGAAAAATTTAAAAAAAAATATTTTCACAATTTTTTTTTTTTTTTTTGGGTACATACCAGTGCAGTACAGCGTCATCATATAACTGGCATGGTGGTGAACAGGGACACTGACTGGTGACAGTATGAAAAAAAAATATATATATATTTTTTTAATTTTTTTTTATTTTTTTTATTATTTTTAATTTTTTATTACATTTTTTTTATTTTTTTAAGATTTTTTTTTCATATTTTACTATGACCAAAGTAGTACAATGTTACCATAGTAACATTGTACTACTTTGGGGAAGTGATCAGTATTTTTTTTATTTTTTTTTTTTTTTTACACAATTTGCTTATAGCAAAGAATTACTTTGCTATAATCAAGCATTTACCTGAATGAAATCGATTCATTCAGTTTTTTTTTTTTTTGTTCTTAGCTGTGATTTGGTCACAGCTAATCACATGACATGTGCATGTGACCTGCTGTGACTATTCACAGCTAGGCACTAGTATACAATGGATGGCATGAATGAAGCCATTGGTCACAGCAGGTCACATGGTACCGGCAACGGGGGCCGGTACTCAGATCTGTCATCGGCCGTGTCCGAGGTACACGGCCGGTGACAGATCGCGCTGCTGCGCGCGAACTGAGCATGTGCGGGAGCACGCCAAATGGGGTGCACCCGGAATGCAGAAGCACTTTTGCCGCCGCCAAACGGCCATTGGCCGGGCGGCAAATGGTTAATAAAGGAGTCCCCATTCTGGGTGGGGATGCACCTGTCTGAGGATACAACGGAAAATTGGTTGGACACCATCTCTAGAAGTCCGTTCCTGCTAGCAGGTCCTGCTCTTCCGCCTGTATTTGCTGCAACTTCGCTTTTCCAAACTTTGGCCGATTGGTCAAAGTCCCATCAGAAGGGATCTTGTCACTACTGTG